CAGGGCAGAATGGGATGTTGCTCCCAGGGGAATCCACAGCTGTTACCCCTCAGTCAGCAAAGTAGCTGCCGAGGCATGTCACCCTTTGCTTTTAACTCCTGAATCAGTCTCAGTTTTGTAGCTCATCTGGAGGAGCAAGAGACCTGACTTCTTGGCACAGCAGAGCATTACCAACAGGCTGTCCTAAGCTTTATGCTCCAGGCTTTTTCTTCCTTGTGAGTCTATAGTTTTAAGCATTGCATTTTAGACACCTCATTTGCTTTGCTGCCCAACAGAGATTATGTCGGGGTTTTGGCACAATTGGATTAAACTAGCATACCTGGATAACTTCCATTGGCATTTCAGGAGATTTGCTGTAAGGCAAACCTGTGACATTCATACCTTCCTAAGCTTGCACAACTAGGGCGAGAGCTGCAGTTGAGGTCTTGACCTCAGTTACTTAAGCCCCTTTCTCCCAGGAACGTTCATCACTTTAATCACAGAGTCCTAAATAATCAGTGGGTAGCCTGTAATTAGGGGGTTGTGTCTTGGACTTCTGCAGCCTGCTCTCGGTGTGCTGAGCACTGCGTATTTTGATTTCCCGTTCCTCCAAAGGATGTTTGATCTCAGATTTACACTTTAGAAAATTAAGGAGGGTACGGCACCTCAGTCACCTGGCAATCTTCCCGCTTTCAGTGGTAGGTGCCTTGCTTTTCCTAAGTATCGCAGTGCTGCAGCGATTGACACACTTGATTTAAGAGTTTGATTTATAGACTGATACTCAGGCTGAAAGTCAGCAGTTCCAGGGCTGCGTAAATCAGCCTGTCTCTGGGACTAATACTTCCTTATTTATAATTTCGACAGGAGATGGAATTCTTTCTCGATTCTTTACATTTCTTTCAGATGTAATCGACCACCCTGTCCTTTGGTTTAAAGCTATGTGACTTTGCCACAAATAGAGGGAGGGGAAAGTAAGCCAAGTCCAGGAATTGCTGTGCTATAAAAGCTCCATATTGTATGCTCTTGGACTTTGCTTTCTCCCAGCTTCCTTCAAGCCCACACAAGAGATGGACTTGAGGTTTTTTGGCTTTCTTCCCCCCCTCCATACATACGCTGACCTTTTAGAAAAATAAATAAAAGATAAAGAAGGACCTGGAATGTTGCAGAATGTGTGTACATTTTGCTCTCTGTTGTTTTCTGCTGGGATTAGTTGTTTACAATGGGGGAGAGAGGGAGGGCAGAGGAAGGGAGGTCTGTGGCCTTAGCCGAAATTAGTGGCATTTCAGAGTGATCTTGTTAGGTGGTCTGCAGTTTAAAGACCTAAATCCTTGTAATCCCCCCATGCCTCCTTGGCCACTACTCTTTTTTGCTCTTGTTCTCTCACTTTCAAAAAAAAAAAAAACCACCCCAAAGTCAGCCTCTCTGTCTCTCAGATACAGGCGCATAACATACACGCACACTCTCTCTCATATGCTTCCATTTGCACGTTGTACCTGTATAACAAATTAATGTCTTAGCTACATCTGTTCCCACTACAGGACTGGGCTTGTAAAATGCTCTCTCTAGAATGCAGACGCACACTGAGTATTTTTATTTATTTTCTGAAAAACACCCAGCTGCCAGACTTCAGTTTGTGATTACACTTAAAACAAATTCAAATTGAAATTTCAGCCATAAATCAAATGCCCCAAATTAGTTCCTCTTGTGGGTTTGAACATGCTCTTTGGATTTTAAGGTCAGAAGATATCCGTTTTCACTGTGCTGAAAAGTTTAAAAATACACTACATTTTCGGAAAAAAAAAATATGGTTTGGATTATAAAGCAGTACATCAAATGTGTACGTATGCACACACACACAACAGTGTCAATGAAGCTGGCTGCTGTCAGAGCACCTTTGAGGACTAATAGCACCTAATTGTTAAGCAAGGCAGGAACCTTGCCACTGCGGTTCCTGCCTGTTTAGCCAAGGAGAATACAGCAGAGTGGCCTGAGATGTGATATTTACCCTGTAAGAGAATAAGTTTATTCCTTACTCTTCAACTTAAAAAAATAGTAAAAATTAAATAAACACACAAAATAGTTCTCTTGGCAGGCTTTATAACATACTTTTTTTTTTAAAAAGGCATTTACAAGTGGTTTCAAAATGGCTGTGTTACATCTGTCAGCGGGTGAAGGGAACACCCACAAATTGTGTTTTTATCTCTTGAAGTTTTGTTCCACTTGAGCAATAAAAGCCGGATTCACTGCTGGTTTGTGTGATTGGGGTAATCTGAGCGTCGAGTATGGTTTCAAAACTTCTGCAGTTGGTTGGGTTTACAAGTTTTGAGGAGCTCCTGGGGTGGCGGAGTTCTTGGGTTTTGTTTTACCCTGGCACTGGGGAAGGGTTGGTTTGCGAGCACCTGGCACAGACAAGTTCCTCTTGGTTCCCTGGCCTGTCCCTCCCAACAAATGGTTTGGCAGGAACCCCCCCTTATCTTTGATGTTAATGTCATCAGCAGTTTCTTGGTTACAATGCTATTCTTTCTCCGGGAGTTGAAAAACTATCCCCAAGTAGGCTCTGAACACACATGCAGTATTCTCCAGCCTGAACTCCAGACCAACAGCTTAAACCCACTCTCCATTGGGGAACATCCTCCTCTGTGAGGATAACGCCGAGAGGTGTAGTGTGCTCATGGTTCCTCGCATGCTCCAAAGAAGTGATAGATGGTGGGAACCTAAAAGTTTGCAGGGGAAAGCTCTCATCTGACTGGCTTGAAGCAATGAAGGAGGAGGTATTTTGGAGTATGCGTTTTGGATAGGAGCCATTTCAGTGGGAAGTGAGCAACCTCTCCCATCGCCTTTGCTAGTCCTGGTGAAAGCCAAGTCAGGATGGCAGCAGTGGTCAGTCCTCCCTCCACCGATTCATTCCCTAGCCTGGCTGCAAATGCAGAGTTGCTCTCACTCGGCGGCGATGGCTGTTGTGCAAAATGATGGCCTGAGCAGCTGCACAGGCCCATGAAGCTATTGGAAAGGAAGCAGATCGTGACAGTGTGAGAGCAAAGGCAGGCGGGGGTCTGCTGTGTATCTTTGCCGCTTTTTATCTTATTAACATGTTAGTAAAAACCTTGCCAAGGCAACCTGAGCTGGTTACTTGTAGCATAATTGCTTATATTGCCTCCTTGTAGGTCAGAGGAGGGGGAGTTTAAGCGAGTTAAAAGAATAATTGTTCAGAGAGGACAGTCTGTTCAAGGGGGTCATAACTGCTAACCACTGCGGCTGAGGTCCAGTTTTATTGCTTTTACTCCTGCAGAATTAATGCTGGTTTTGTGGGGCAGATGGTTTCTGCTCTGACTCACACAAGCAACAGAATTGTAATATGTTTAATGGCAAATTCTGTATACTAGATCATAGTGAAGTGTAAGCAGGAAAATACTAGGAATTAATTTTAGGATCAGCAGTCTGGAGTGAGAATTGATGTTTCTCTCTTCTGAGGATCACAGCCGGCTAGCTCTTCATTCAAGACAGAATTGAGGCTTGGGGCTTTGACCTGATACCAAAACCCTTCTATGCTGTCAGTTCAGATTCCAGGGTAACAATTCTGTCCACGAGCCAGCCCGATGGTGTGGTGCAGCTGTGTTTCACTAGTGCAGTGAGTAGCAGTGGTGCCTGTGATGAAGGTGGGAATGGCTTGCAGGTCATTAAACTGTGGAACTCGCCATGTAGAAAGTCACTGAAGCCAAAAACTTCAGACAGAGATCCGCTGTTCCACTGAGGATAGCAAGAATATCCACAGTTGTTGTAATTAGTATTAGCAGAAATACTGGGGAGAAGATATGAAATGCATGGTTCACAGTAGGATTAATATGGGGGAGCAGATTACTTGCATCTCTCTGGGGTTATATATCTCGCTTATACCTTCCTACCAGTCAGCTGGTTTTTATGTGTGTTAGACTTAGTATTTTAGACACTTCTTAGCTGGGTGCCTTGAAATTTTCTGTGCTTCAATGACTTCTACCTATCTTTGCACATGTGAAAATAAGGAAACAAATTATTTGCATTGTAGCTATTTTTTTCTCTGTAGCTTTGAAATAAATTATATTTAATACCATTTAACACTACTCGTGATGCTGAGTGAACAGCATTTCAGGACACATCATGGATACTAGTAAACATTCACAACTTCCATTTTACTGCATGGAGGGGCTCAGACCAGTGCAATAACTCACTCAGCATCTCTCAGCAGAGGAGTTATGAAGCCAGCACTTGGACTCTGAACTTCTTTCCTACCTGGACAATCAGATCCGCAGATCTGAAAGCTGGTTATCACAGATTCAAATACATTTTGGAAGAAGGGGACTTTTGCTAAAGTTCCATCCTATGTAGCATTTCAAACTGTGGTGTCAAAGGCTACGTGAGCGTGAAGATGTCCAAGGCAGGCAGAGCAGATCCAGTGTGTGTTTCATTGGTTTAGTACTGCAGAGTAATCATGTTTGGGTGCTTGAACATAACATGAACAAAGCCAACCAGCTGAGTATCAATCTGCCCTTTCTCACCACCATTTCTTAGTATCTGACAAGCTGGAACGTATGAAACTTCTCAGCAAAATTCATAGGGAAGGACTGGGCTGCTGCTCCTCTTTTTAACTGGGGAGCTGAGCAGAGAAGCCACCCCCACAGTTACCCAGGCTGTCTGTGGAAAATACAAGACTTGATCCACGTCCCAAGTCCCAGGCTAGTGTCCTGTCTATGAAATCCTCTGGCAGTATTTATTCTGTTAAGGAAATATAGAGGAAAGCTGTTCTAACAGGAGGTAAAACTGGAAACCCTTTTTTTGCAAACCCATTCTGACAGCTGGCATTTCAGTTTTTCCAGCAACTGGGTGTGAGGATCAGGAGAAGAATAGTGGAGGTTTTGAGAAAAGAGCAGAACTGAACCTACTTACAGGATCATGTCACAGGCTCATTACATATTCCGATGGATACCTTTGGATTGTACCTGTCATTTTAAATAATTTTCTTGGTTTACTTTGTGTTTCTTTTGTAGGTGCTGTCTTCAGGGCAGTGTTGTCTGTCATAATGCCGTGATAGAGAAGGGTGCAGACATCAAAGACTGTTTGATTGGAAGCGATCAGAGGCTGGAAACCAAAGGTAAGTAGAGGAGCTGTGTTTACAGTGCATTTGTAATAATTTTCAAAATTTCTTCTTCGAGATTTTACTCCTGCTTCGTCATGAAGTGCCAGTAAACAGTGGCAGTTCTGCAGTGTGGTGTCCTATAATATTAAGATTTGTTTTTCATGGAAAGTACAGCTTCTTGGCATAAGAATAGCCCAGGGACTTGCTCCTCTGAAGTTGGCAGAAAAGCTCTGTTGTTGTTGTTGTTACAAAGAACAAGATTGGGTGCTGAGACAGTCTTTTCCCAGAGACCACAATTAGATCAGCCTGAAGTTGTCCTCAGCAGAAGGAGCTGTTATTTTGACTAGTAATCTTCGTCACTGTCAGGGGCGATGCAGTGAAGTTACTGATCACACAGACATCCTTCTCTTTGTAGATGCTACCGACCCACGGTGCTCCCACCCACCTTTCTCCGAGCAAAAGCTCGAGGTGGAATATCATACTAGGAGCTGCTGCACTCAGTACTAAGTTCAGCTACATTCAGATCTGCTTTACTGCTATGCGAGGCTGTTTTGGGGCTTCAGAGAGGTCGCAACTACGTGGCTCTCATTTGGGCAAAGTTAAGCCATCCAGTGGAAGTGTGCGTGGCGAGGGCTCGGTGGTAACCGCCTGAGTGGAACTTTTGATTTCCTGCCCGAAGAGATAATGGGCAGGAAATGGCTGTCTCAGTGACTGCATCCCAAGCAGAGGGCTTTTTAATGAATATTTATAGTTGGGGTTTGGCAGATCCCTGCTCTAGGGTGTGGACTGAGGACAAAAGTGAGTTCCTTTGCAGGCTGCATGTGAAGTTATTTAGTCAGATCAGGATTTGTTTGCTCGCTTTGTCTTTATGGGTGGGTTCCCAGTTGTAAGTGTCCTGACACAGAGCAGGGTTTGCACTTAATGTAGTATAGCGTAACCTATTGTCAGCTATGCATATGACAAATTTTCCTTTAACTGAGGAAAAGTAACCTAAAAGTAAAAAAGACTTGTGAAAACAAAGTATTGATCTTGCAGTTGCAAGTCTCCGATACTGCAGGAAACACCGAGTGAGTGTTCTGTGCGCTGTGGTCTTGGTCCCTGTATACCAGGGTCTGTGCCTACTCATGGCTTTGCCCGTCACATCAGCCTGAATCAGTGGCCCTTGCAGGTTTCATTGCCCCCTGTCACTAGAGATTTGCGCTATTCATGATGCTCCATCTGTGTCCTCCCCTGAGCATAGAATCATAGAATCATTTAGGTTGGAAAAGATGTTTAAGATCATCGAGCCCAGCCATAAATGTAACACTGCCAAGTCCACCACTAAACCATGTCCCTAAGTGCCACATCTACACATCTGCATGAATCACTAGGAGAGCTGAATCAGGTCGCATTTCGTTGTTAACCTGCAGCATGAACTATGAGACAGGGTGTAGATTAAGCTAATATTTTAGGAAATGGGTATATGTTTGATTTCTTTAGTAGATCATATCAAACAGAAGTATCACCCTTTGACCTTGTTCACACCTGCTTCAGTAGTCTCTTCCAGGGTGCAGATCCTAGTCTGGTTGATTTTAGTATGGAAACCGTTCGTTCTTCTTGATTGTCCTTGTCATGCTTGTCTGAATAGTTTTCAGGGTCCATAGATGTATTTGCAGGGAGAGTAACGAAGCTGTAACCCATGGTTCATTTGCCTGTTCTTGTAGAGTCTACCACTCACCTCTCCAAAGCTTAAACCCACTTCTTAATGAGTCTGTGGGCCCTCTAGTTAAACTGTTCAGAAACGTATGATTTATGTTAGCAAAGACACATTCAGGTAGATTATGAATACACCATTTTGCTGAGCAAGAAAAAATAATAAAGCCTCAGTTCATTTCCCTGCCTCAGTTTCCTAACCATTTTGGAATTTCTTTGGGCCGGGGGTCAGGTTCTCCTCGGTGGTCTGGGATCTGTCTGTGAAGTTCATGACTTATTTCCTGAACTGTGGAGTCTTTCCAGCCTAGCATGTCTCTTCTGACCTTGGCTGGTCCTGTAGTAAACTGGGCCCTCTCTTTTTCACTGTGAAAGCATGCCATGACTTCCTTTCCCCTGACCAAGACTTCCTGTATCTTGTGCCAAGCTTTTGGTGTGGCCCTGTAAGTCTGTTTCCATATTCCCGTTTTCATCAAGACTTTGGCTGTGTTGTTCTGTTTGGTAACTTTTCCTTCTTCAAACTTGAGCCTCCATGGCCAGGTTAGAAAAAAACTAGTTCTCTTGGGCTGGAGCCACCTTTTGTTGCAAGCTGATCACACTTCAGCAGGCGTAAGCGGTAGCAGCTGGCTGTTGACCCTAGTCTGTGAGTTACATGCTAGAAACCTCCTCAGCAAATGCATACACCTTCCCAGAAACATTAAAAAATGAAAATACAGCAGTCCCTTATTCCCAAGCATCAGCCAGGATTCATCAAAGGTAGAAATATCCCTGAATCATCCTACACAGCCCCAAGCAAATCCCACAGTTGACTTTGCTGCAGGACTGGCTGTGTGCTCCTCGCTCTGCCGTATGAGTCCTGGCCACACTGTTCAGGTGGCTCGGGGTACAAGAGCTCTTTGAGCAAGGGTTGCACTGACCTCCTTTCATAAAAGGAACTCCAGTCCCATGCAAGGAGGATGGCAGGAGAACAGCTACCACAAATGATAGGCAAACGTAACTCAAACCAGCTCTCATCCTTTTCCTTCTGCGGAAGAATATGGGCATATTTAGGGTGGTCCAAATGGTACAGCTGGGAGTAATGGGATTGAATTAAACACAATTTAGGTTGGCTATCTGGAACGTTTTCTAACGATGTGGTCTGGTAGGCTGTGGGATAATCTCCCTGGGGACATGGTGGGAGACCTCATCACTTAATAATGGGCTTGGCAAAGCTCTGGACACCTAAATAGAGGGAACACTCCAACACTGGTTACTGGGGTAGATCAGATGGATTACTTTCAACCTGAAAAGAAAATTAGAGATACAGGGGGGCCAGGTAACTGTCAGCGATGACATCCCAGTCCTGCGTTGACTTCAGCCCTATCACAGCACTGGACAGAGATGGTACTTTTAAGTGCCTCTTAAAGTCAAGGTACGGAGTTTTATTAAACTTCTGGATTTGCAAGCCATGCCTCCTGAGAGCTGTACTATTCTCTTCCTACTGCTTTTATTACCATGCTTAGGAAGCATCCACTTTCCTTCCTCTTTGATACTTTAATTTAAGGAATTTGCTAGCAGAGAATTAACAGATGGGCTTTGTGAAAGCTACCTCACGCAGGTAGCAGTTTGAAAACAAGTTGGTACCTAAGAAAAAGGAGGTAATTATTAAAAGGATAGGAAATGGCAGGCAGCAGTTCTGAAAGAACTTAATTGCACAGAGCATTCAATCACTGTTTCGAAGACAGTTATTAGGATCATGCTCCAGCCTTTTTGATGGACCTATTTTTAAAGAGGAGCTCAAAAGCAACATGCACTCATTGAAGTAGGACTAGAGAGAGGGAGTGCTGGTGATGGGCCAGTCAAGGAGTTAGATGAGCCCTAGAGTCAGTGAGTTCAGTTCCCAAAGGAGTCTCTAGGCCAGATTCAGCAAGGGAGTAGTTACACATCTGGTATAGGTTAGCCAGGAAGAGGCGTATACTGTAAAGTGGCCTAACCCTTCTTTAAAGCAACACCAAGAACAGAGATGGTAAAGACACACACATAGGATAAAACTAGCAAAATTGACACAAAACTCACCACCGTATCCCTTGCCTTCATCTCTGTTGTCGCTGAGGCAGGAATGTTTTATATGCATTTGGATATTAAGGAGCCAGTGTCATTTGGGGACAGCTTGAGTCATTGCACACCCAAAAAGTGCATTACAGCAGTGCTGTTGCCTCAAAGCATATGTTCAGAAAGGGAAAAAATACCAGCAGCCAGGATGCTGATATAATCTTAGCTTGGTATCCTGGTACATACTTAGTAGTAGCATTATCTCCGTGACCAGGCTGTAGACTAAGGCTTCGCTGTGCTTGTTCCTGTGCAGTTTTTATGCTACCATATATTTTATTTTCCTTGGTGCCCTGACACAGTCAACACCCATAATGAGTAGTGCTTGCTGAATGTGGGGGTTTTCCATATTCCTCATTTTCCTATCCTTTTTCAGTTTGTGTCTGAAATCTTAATTACTGTTGACTATGCAAGAGACAAGATCCTTTCTATGGCCTTCCTGCAACATTTGGCATCTTAATGCTTCACAACTGTTAACAACCTCATTTGTGCCTCCTCAGTATGAACATGGTTGGATCTTCCTCCTATTCTACAGAGACCTGAGAGACGGGGAGATTCTGATCATCTGCCCATTCATTTGGACTGGCCAGCTTAAGTGCTGAAGTTGGCTGTTACATGTGGCATTTCCTAGCCATTAGAGACCTGACATTTTAGCATTAGCATTTTCTTTGTAAACATTGGGAGGGAAAGTTCAGTCCACTGAAAAAAAACCAGTTTTATTATATGGGATGATGTTGGCCCTTGCGTGGATCATTAGCAGTGTCAGAAACTTGAACTCCATTGTACAGTTTTCTGCTGCTTCAGCTGCTACTTCTGCTACTATCAGATGGGAACTGATAGTAGTGGGTCATCTTCCTTAAGGGGACCTGGATCTGCAATGGGACAGGAAAAACTCTTTGCCAGGAGATTTCACGGATGCCCATGGGCATCAGCAGCCCTGAGATCCACTCCTGGTGCTGGGAGGAGAAGGCTCTAGTTACTACAGGCTTTACTGATCCTGCCCCCAGCATCAGCCATTGGGCCTCAACTATATTACCTGTGTCCTACCTGATCCTGACTCCTGCTTCACAGCTCCCTGGCTTTATCCCAGGACCAGTCTCATCCCATTTCCAACCTTTGTTTTTTCCTCTAGTCTTTGTCCCATGGAGGTTCATGGTTTTCTCTCTTACTTGGTTATTCCCAGACACCCACCTGACTCCTTCTCTGGTCTGACCATAGCTGCTATTTCCAGTCCCCTTGCCTAACAGTCCCATACTCTATTTCCCATCTGGCACTCACCCCCTGACTGCTTTGAGTCAGACTGCATCCCTTTCCATACCACCGTCGTGCCCGGGCAGGATCATTCTGGGCACAGGAGGGAAGCAGTTCTGTGCTGAGAGCTGCACTGGTCCATAGAGCAGGGATACAAGCGTGGAGGAAGCCCTGTCTTCCTCCTGCACTTCCATGGTCAAGAGTGCTCACTGCAGACAGAGTCTCTGGAGCTTTTAGCTGCCCTCCTGAGAACATGCGCAAGCTGAGATTTTTTTTCCAGAGGCTTATCACGTAGCCAAAACTGTGTGGTTTCTCACAAGAACAGAAAAAGGCACATATCCAGTAAGGACTGGCTCCCGTTTCCAATCATTTTCCAAGTCCTGTTCCAAGCTTGGAGTCCTAGGACTTCTCAATGAAACAGAGTAAGATTGTTTTATTTTAATGAGGGCCAAAGAGCACATTTTT